TTCCATTAAACAGTCTTGCTCACTCTCCATCCCATGTTCAATTGAGGAGATTGACCAGGACTATCAAACCACCCAACTGGCATGCAGATTACCATGTCACTCATCCCATTCATAGAGCCCTTTCATACACTCACCTATTACCAAAGCATCAACACTTCATAAACAGTCTGACCTCACACAAAGAACCATCATCTTATCAAGAAGCAATGCAGAACCCTCTTTGGGATAAGGCAGTTCAGGAAGAGTTGAAAGCCCTGATTGACAATGGGACATGGGAAATCAAGGATTTACCAGTTGGTAAGAAGGCAATAGGCTGCAAAGGGGTTTTCAGGGTAAAACTTCATTCTGATGGATCAATTGAAAGATATAAGGCAAGACTGGTTGCCAAAGGGTATACTCAGGTTTATGGCATTGACTACTGTGACACTTTCTCACCAGTAGCTAAATTGAGTTCAGTTAAAACCCTACTTGCAGTTGCAGCAGTGCAGAATTGGCACTTACATCAGATGGATGTAAGCAATGCCTTTTTGAATGGTGATTTGACAGAAGAGGTATACATGGAAATACCTGATGGTTTGGATTTGGGAACTGACTACAAAGGCAAAGTCTGCCACTTGAAGAAATCACTTTATGGGTTGAAACAGGCAAGCAGACAGTGGTATACAAAGCTCACTGAAAGCTTGCTGAAGCATGGATTTAAGCAAAGTTCCTCAGATTACTCTATTTTCACAGCTGAAATTTTTGGTACACTAGTTGTGCTCATTGTGCATGTTGATGACATTCTGATTGGAAGTGTGAACTTGGATTCCATTACAGAGACCAAAAGGATCTTACAAGGAGAATTCAAAATGAAAGATTTGGGAGAACTGAAATACTTCCTTGGCCTAGAAGTGACAAGAGGAGTAAAGGGAATTACTGTTTCTCAGAGAAAATATTGCCTAGAACTTCTAACAAAATCAGTTTTTGAAAATTGCAAGCCAGCATCCACTCCAATTTATGTTAAGGAAGTGTTGTCTGCTACAGGGAGCATTCCTTTAGCTGATGTTGCAAGTTTCAAACACTATGTAGGCCAGTTGCAATACCTAACAACTACAAGACCAGATATAGCATTTGCTGTGCAGCAGTTGTGCACTTATCAGGATAATCCTACAAGTTTACACTTGAGAGCCTTGCATAGAGTGCATAGATACCTCAAAGGGGCACCTGGACAAGGCCTTCTTTATTCTAAAGACACTGAACTCGAGTTGAAGGGATTCAGTGATTCTGACTGGGCTACATGTCTAGATACCATAAATCTATAACTGGATACTGTACTTTTCTTGGACCTGGAATTGTTACATGGAAGAGCAAAAAGCAGAAGACAGTATCCAGGTCCTCCTCTGAAGCAGAATACAGGGCCTTGGCTAGCTTGAGTTGTGAAGTTGAATGGTTAGTCAGACTACTCAAAGATTTTGGAGTAGAACATCCTCAAGCAGTCAAGGTATTTTGTGACAATCAATCAGCAATTCACATTTCTGAAAATCCAGTGTTCCACGAGAGAACCAAACATATAGATGTGGATTGTCACGTGATAAGAAAGAGGGTTCAGTCTGGGTTGATTGCTCTACATCATGTATCAACTGATTCTCAACCTGCAGACATTTTCACCAAGAGCTTATCTGTAGATCGCTTTGCATCTTTGTTGTCCAAGCTGGGAGTATATGATATATACTCGCCAGCTTGTGGGAGGGTAATAGAGAGGCGAGATGATCAACCTCTAGGTGATCCGAGTTGCTCAACGGCAACCAAAGTATGCAGCTCTGCTCCAGAAATGAAGAACAAGATGAAGAACAAGGAGCAGAGCAAAACGACTGCGTCTTGCTTCAAGTGCAGCCAGGAACGGTGGCGTTTTCCACCAACAACTTTTAGTTCCGATTTAACTGTAGATAGTACACGTGTATAGTATTCATTGGTAGTTTCATTTGTTAGTTTTTATTAGCCGTTAAACTACATTAATTAGACTTTTAAAACCTCTTTATATATATGGTTTTACATCAATGGAAAAGAGCTCAGTGAGCATTTCCCCCAGATCTGTTACTTCTTCTCAACCATCCAAGTATATGTTAACTACTCTACCAATTCCAAATTACTAAATCCATCAAATGAAAAACCTAAATCTAGCTTAAAGGCTTAAAAAGGGAGGTAGGATATCGCCAAATCGATTCCGTTTCTTCATGTTCAAACCTGGCAAAATACGCAAAAGAAGTTAGGGATGGGAATTTAAAAATAACGCGAGAGATTTCACTCAAACCCACCAAAATCTATCATCGGAGGAAAGGCTCCTCGCCGACGCCGCCGTCGGATTTCTTTTCCGGCAACCATCTCCATTTACTTGATTTCTACCCCTGCCAAAAAAACCCATAAAGGACACAGAACAAAACAAAAATTAGGTCAGTACCCAAAAGTAAAACCAAAATCAGACCCCATATCTCCCCTAAGTCGACAAGCTAACCTAAAAATACCTACCATTGACCTTCGCCACCGCCGTCAATCGCCGAGCCCTTCCCATCTCCTTCCATTCCTTCCACCACTCTCGTGAGGAACCAAATCCAAAGAAACAAAATTAAACTTAAAACCCATCAAAACCAAACCTTGAAATCAGCATGCAACCTAGGAAAAAGCTTACCTTCGTCGTTCTCTCAACCGGTGACCAATAGGTTTCAAGTCCAACTAACAAAAAACTCTTTCTATAATTTTGAGAATTACGTTAATAAACGTATGATCAAATATTAATAACTAACACATAATTAACCGCATTATATAATTAAATATGCAAGTAATGCGCAAATTATAATACACCCAACTCTTAAAAACTTATCGATTTAAGTAGTACCCATCTTGGGGCGCTGTGGGGTGTGAATACACTTCCCCACACGTAACCATACTCTCGAACCCAAAATCTCAATATTCGCAGACCAGGTCCCGGCTCTGACCCTAAGGTTGGAATGTGATAATTGTCGAAAACATATTGATTTTGCGTGCTTAATGTGATTATTTCATGATATGTTTGAGACCTATAATACTTGTTTGAGGTCCAACTAAGCCTGGAATGGTTATAAAACCATTACCATCAAGTGCCAAATGTTTTATATATTTCAGGTAAATGAAACGAGAAATTTGCATTGGTGGATAATTCAAGTGGACTGGATGTACATTAATTAGACCGGAACTTACTGAGTAGTTGAACCGGGACCGGACTTTTGCGAGCTAGAGATTTTTTTTGGTCGGGCCTATTACTTGGGGGAGCTGGCGGCATTGATGGGGTAATGATTCTTGGGCCAGGAAATTAACTGGCGGCTGGAATTAATCAGAAAGGGAGGAGACTTTTAATGGGGACGGGCTCTCTTGGAAAAAAAAAAAATCTCTGGGCTTTTGAGCTGGGAACGAAAGGAAGTAAAGGAGGCGGAATCTCATTTTGGGGGGAGGAGACGTAATTAGAAGGGAAAGAAAGAATTAAAAGGACGGAATTAGAAGAGAAGTCTTGGAAGAGGCGCAGCAGGCGACAGAAGGGAAAATAGGCAGCGGGACTTTATTTTGAGTTCTGCGCGATTATCTTGGAGAAAAAAGAAAGAAAGCGAAGGCAGCAGAGAATCATCGGGCGATTGGCCATTGGCGATCGGTTTTTCCAAGGTTTTGAGCTGAGTTCAACGAGAGCGATTAGTTGGTTGGATTTTCTGAACCAAATTAGTTGTTTATGGTTGATTTAGAACATGATGAACAAAACTCTATTATTTTATCTCAATTTCGTCATGAACTAAACCTCGATTTCTGGGGGAAACACCATAAGATGTAGCTATTTATTGATTTGATGGATTGATTTATGATTCTTTTCTTCCGCTCTCTATTGCATGAAATTGCTTAATGCTTTGTGTTGACTGGCCACCAATACATCGATTCGTAGTTAATTAGGTTATTAGCGACAGTGAAACCCTAATAACTGAACCTATTTCATGTGACATAGTAACTTATCGAAGCGACAGTGGATTAAATAAGGTACTATGCGGTCTTAAATAGGATATCGATCTTCAGGCTAAATAATTAGGTCATTGAGCTACGACAGTAGGATTTGATTTTATTGTTTAGTACGTAGTAATTCCCGACAGGGATAGCTAGCACATTCGTGATATCCTGGCTGTAGAGGTATGGATTAAATTGATTGGAATATGTGAATTAATCTGGATAGGATTGGTAGTGAATCCCGGTGTTTCTCCCAGAGCTTTCTCCCATTGATTTAAACCCGACACTTTAATTTGCTTGTTTTGTTTAATTGCTTTGCTATTAGATCATAGTTTCATCTCATTAAACATTTTCACATATAGTTTGCTCAATAAAATTGATAGAACTTAAGGTTGTACCAGTCCCTGAGAGACGATACCCGGACTTTCCGGTTTACTACGAGATAGGAAATTGGCATATACGCTTTTGCCCTATCAAGGTTTTGGCGTGATAATCGGCTTTAACATATGGAATTTTTGGACTTTATGTGATTATGCATGATATGTTTAAGCCGATTGGTGTTATTTTAGGGCTCGCTGGGAGTGGTGGAGAATGTATTGGTGAAGGGGGGAAAGTTTATTCTCCCTACAGATTTTGTAATTCTGGAGATGGAAGAAGATCAGGGAGTGCCTATAATTCTCGGCAGACCTTTTCTAGCAACTGGTGATGCACTCATCGATGTCGGGAGAGGCAAGTTGACATTCCGAGTAGGTAAGGAGGAGAAAATTTTTAATGTCTTTCAAGTTGACCATAATCACGATGCATTTGATGACTTTGAAAGTGGAGCTCGAGAAAGGGAAAATTCTTCTTCCAGTGATAGTGGACCACCCAAAGAACTATCACATGTCCTAGCAGCTGAAAGTCTGAAATCAAAGCAAGGGCAGAAATCCTTGCCAGGTTACCTCAAGTATCGATATTTTGGTAAGGATTTCAATCTTCCTGTTATTATTCCTTCTTCACTGACATTGAAACAGGAAGAGTACCTGCTTGGGGCGTTGCAGTACCACCTACGCCTCACTAAATGGTCTAACATGCCAGCTAAGAAGGTCATACCCAATTTTCGCACACCTGGCCCTACAGAGGTGACTCATATGCTGGATGGAGGTTATGCGTTCTATCATTGCTTGGGAGGGTATTCTGGATACCTTTCCATACCCATTGGTTGAAAGCTCCATGAACGTCAGGCTGAGGACGTTAAACAAGCGCTTCTTGGGAGGCAACCCAAGGTAAGTTTTCTTTTCTTTATTTTTCTTTTTCGTTGTGTCAAACCCGTGCATGTTTAGATTAGGAGTTGAACATTAGGGACAATGTTCCATCCTGAATGTGGGGTGGCGAGTCTTAGAGTTTGTTTGTTCCTTTTGTCATGTGGTCGGTAAAAAAAAAAAATAAAAAAATGCCATTAGGTTGAGCACAGCCAAACTGCATGCAGTTTGCCTATACAAAAAGCAGGCTGCCTATGCAAAGCTAATGGCTAAAAAACACCTAAAAATAAAATAAATTAAAAACAAAACCTTGTACTCTTGTGGTAACATGATGTAAATGACCGTGATGCCTTGAAAATGAGTTTGTGCTTGAATGAAATCATCAAAATCACCCCACTAGTGTTGAATTGCATGGTTCTTCACGATGTGCTTGAATGTTTTGACTGACTTGATATGCTTTGAATGAGCAACTCTTTTAGCAACATTCTCTTTTGTGAGGATAGTGTAACGACTTTTGGTGAAGTAGTTAGGTGGAGAACATTGGCCATTCGACATGTTTGGATACCGTGCTTACTTGCATCAATTGTGAGCTTTTAATTTGGCAACGAGTCTCTCTGTTTTGATTGTTTTATGATGGGGTGAACTGTATCTTTATAAAAGAAAACACTACCTGACAAGTAAAATATAAGAAAGTTGCCATAACAATTAAAGTGTGGGTAAAAATGCCAAAATCGTGTGAGGCAATCACTCATTGCACATGGGGATGAGGAAAGATTCAATTGAGAATCGGTTCGCGACCGTACGATGTTGCTTATCAAGTACGATCCCCAGTTGAGTGAAGTGCCATTTGAGGAGCAATGACCGTCCACACGGACCGAGAAAAAGGAGTTAAAAGAAGCCCTTATGCGAGTGCTAAGAAGCAGAAATCGCTCTTGCTCGGTCACTGGTAGTAAGAAACAAACCAACTTGTACTAAATACGACCTCTCAGCAAGCAAAAGCAGAAAGAGAGAAAGCCTCTCCTTGTCATAAAAGGTAGTGATGTGCTTAAAGTTAAAATCATGTTTGCGAAAGGCTTCCCCCATTAGTTTTTGAGACTCATGCTTAATTAATTGCTTATGATTGGTGTGAGTAAGCCAGACTATCCTCACGAGATATGCACCTCACTGATGTGGTTAGATTCCCCTAATAACTGTTACACCATAAGTTGTTAATCACCCACTACCGACGATCGGAATTGAGTTTTGCTATTTGAGTTTTTGATGGATTTGAGTCAGTCAATGGTTAAGGATTGCAAAGACCTTGAGTGTGGAGTGAAAGGTATGATCATTAAAGCACAACTTGTCCTTTTAGAAAGAAATTACTGATTACAACAAGAGTACAAGGATAAATTTTTTGTGTTATCATTGTGTTTTGTGTGTCAGAATCGGGCCAAGATGTTCGGTCCACCACCTCTAAGGTCGATGGCGACTCCGAGCGTATCGCGACGGGTCCCCCGATCTCGGAGGGGCGGTTGCGACATTTAATGTTCAATATAGAAAATATAGAAAATATTGAAAAGAGATGAGGATAGACTCGTCATTTACCATCATGAATTTTAGCCTCCCACAAAATCCCAACTAAATAGGTGCGATTTTATAATCCGTGGACCCCACGAATTTTGACTACAAAATAATCCCACATACATGGGCCCACACACCATAATCCAACACCACTTTAACACCAAACATGAACTTTGTACATAATCCCATGGGTGTGGGATTTTGATCCAAAATTTATGATGAAAATCCTACAAGCAAACTGTGTTGGGTGAATCAAAATCCATTGACAAGAGGATGTCAATAATTTTGGCGGAAAAACAAAGTTTACCGCGTAAGTACGGTAAGAGTGAAATTTTACTACTTTGAATTTTCATTAATGCTTTCAAAATTGTTTAGGGGTTGTTTAACATACTTCAGGAAAACTTTGACGGGATTGATCTTTGTACTTTGGGTTTTATCGGCGAAAATTGTCTAAAAGGAATTTTACAATGTTATATAACATTGGTACTATAGGTATTTGCCATTATGGTACAACTTCAAGTTCTATCTTTAACGTTATGGTACAACTTCATATTGTACGTATACTGTTTTGTACAAATTATTTTATGGTACAACTTGAACTTGTACCCTTATGTGATAGTATAACTTTAAGTTGTGAAGTTGTACTATATCGTAAGGGTACAAATTCTTTTATGGTACAACCTAAACTTATACATTTTACGTTATGGTACAACTTTAAGTTGTACATTAAAGCACCAATGTTTTATAGCATAGTAGGAGTGCTCATTTTAAAGGTCGTTTGGTAAGCAATGTATTCGACTAGATGTGGCAATTCTCAATCCAATCCACCAATCCATTAAAAATATCCACCTAATCCAATCCATTTAAATCCAATCCATTTTATCCAAATCCAATTGGATTGGTGGATTCATGGATCAATCCATGGATCCAAATGTGCAATTACGATTTGGTACCTATAATTTTTATATTTTATATTTTGGTACTTAAAATTTTAATTTTTATACGAAAAATCTCATTGGAAAATTACGTTTTGGCACCTAAATTTTTTCATTACGACATTTTAGTACCTAAACTTTTCACATTTTACATATTGGTCCAAGGTTGAGGATGTCATTTGGATTCATGGATAATTCACTAATCCACTTGATTCAATCCATGAATCCACCAATCCATTGGATCCAATTCATTTGATCCATAGATCCATCAATTGATGGATCCAATCCATTTGCCACCTCTAATTCCAACAACTGATTATTTGAAAGCAAATAACCTTTGTCTCCTGCATGGAGAGAGCTTGTCAAGAGGCAAAAATCTCAATCGGCTTTGTTGAACTACATGAACCTTAGACACTACTCACTGTCACACATTAAAATAAATATCAATTACTGGAAACAAACTCTCAAACAAACTGTACATCAATGTATTTATCGTACATTTTGAAAAATGTCGAGTTGTTGAGGAGCCCAATCCATTGTATAGTTGGTAGTACAATGATAGAAACACATAAAATTAAGTAACTATGACTAAGTAGTTATTTAATATTCATGCCTAGACAGAAGAAGAAAGAGATATGAAAGAGGTGATCGGTTAGCTAACTAAGGAAGAATTTAGGGGAACACATTAATAAATGTAATCTAATGGAAACAAACCCTAAAATTAACGGTAAACCCCATGTAGTTATCGGACATTTTGAAAATATCAATTTGTTGAGCAACCCAATCGATTGTACAGTTGGCCTTACAATAATAGGAAAAATAAAATTAACCATGCATAAATATAAGAAGAAATAGATACTAATATATATTGATAGTATTCGCCAGTGTTTTTAAGAAATATATTGCCATTAGTTAATAGGGCAGGTAATCGGTCTGGTACCGATTTAACCGGTATTCTGTTAGCCGGTTATCGGTATATCGATCAAAGTTAAATAGCCACCGACTACCGATAGCGGGTGTAGGGATGGCAACATAACCCGAATCTACGGGTACCCTATCCGACCCAACCCAGTCAACGCGGATAAAATCCGCATTGACGAATTATGGGTCGGGTTCGGGTTTAACCCGTTTACAATTTTGCGAGTTTGATTGGGTTCATGTTTAGCTATATCCAACCCATACTCATCCCCAACCACGACCCACTTACCCTCACATGTCCCATTCGACCATTCCCATTTGTTTACTATTATTTGCTCACTTCACTTACTATTCTATTTGCGTCTTTGAAACAATTGATAGACTCATGACTTATGTCATCATTAATGATGACCAAGATTCAGATTCTGGTTCATGTGTTACCGTATATTTAATTTCTAAGCAATGTATCTTCTTTAAGCAACTAATCTTTTTTATGTTTGTGTAGACATGTCTAATCTGTTCTTTCTAAATGTGTAGAATGAAGTTGATATTATGGAGTGGAGAGTGAAGAAGTTTGGTTGACAAGGACGAAGAAGTTTTCAATTAATCTTGTTGTTTATGAATGTTTATCTTTAATGTTGAATAAGTTGTATGGATACGTTGTGGTTTGCTTGTATGCTCTGGATTGATGTTTTTTGTTTGGATAATTTGTATGAGAATAATGATGTTAGACTTTTATTTTAGAGTTAATACCCTAGTTTGGCCCGAAGTATAGCGTTAGTGACATTTTTTGTCCCATTTTTCAAATAAGACATATATGGCCCTGATATGATCCCAAATTGCCAACCATTCACGTCACAATTACTTGACAAAGAAGCCATCAAAGTTGGGAAGAAGAAGGGCAGAATTTGGCTAAGTCAAAATCCATGTTCAGGGTACATACTTTGGAGGCATGGTTCTCTCAATTTGCTTGGTGTAAATTCAATTTTAAGGGTTTGTTTTGCAGATAAAGTTATCATCTTTCCAATGGTATTCTTTATGGATCCAGAAAATGTCATTAAGGATGTTTTCCAAGGCCTCAAAGTTGCTATCTCAAAACTGGAAAACTGCCAGAAAATGGTGAAGTCTGGAAACTGTTTTGTGAAGCCTACTTTGGAGCTTAATTCGGGGAGTATGGATCTGATTCAAGTCCAAAGGCTTCTACAACGTGAAAATAGGTATGTTTATTTACCAAGGGAAGGAATTGGATGAAGAATTGGAGTTCTGGAAGGCCTCGAATGAAAGACGCGAAGTTAGTACAAAAGCTGCTTTTGGACAGTTTGCTGTTAGCTTACTTGTGCTTCAAGAAAGGGAGTTTAAACCCGAATTTTGTGTCCTTTTTAGTGTAGAATTTTACCTTAATTGTTTTCTAGTTCTATTATGATTGTATTAGGTTTTATTTACCTTTAAATACCGTTCTATTTCGTTGTAAAATTCAGACTTTGTTGAATAGAAAAGAAACCGTTTGGTTTGTGCAAGTTGCGACTTGTTTGAGTTTGGTGGATTCCAAGCTTGTGAGCTTTGTATCGATTGAATATTCTCTTCAATCGTGGTCGAGTAGCTACCCTTTTATACCATACGAGCTTTCCCCAGGTGTGGAATTGTCTGTTGGTTCCGTTTTATCCCAAGTTCGTATTAAGAGCACTTCGTTCTTGATTCGAGCTCAATCGATTCTTCGATTGAGTCGTTTGCTGCGTTACTTTGATAACATACACCCCCAGGGCGTATTAGGCCCACTTTTGGAACTATTGGACAAAATTGGACCATGGGATGGGTTGACTGTCAGAATTGACGGTCAACCATTTTCTCAGTGACTGACTCAGCATTCGACGTTGTCTCAGCTTGTTCACGTCATTCACTAAGTTTAAAAAAAAATTAACAAAACAAAAAGGGACTGGAAGACACGAGGACCACCACACACTTACCCTTTCCCCTTTCCTTCGACCTTCTTCCTCCTGCGAAACCCCACACAATACATGTTCCCATCACCTTCCCCGATCTCCTTTGAGACCAAATCCAACCCAAATCAGATTTAAGCACGCGACCGGCGTCGCTATCCTTTACAAGAGACACTGCCCTTGCCTCCTGTCATCTTCGTCACCAACGTTCATCGTCGCCGCCAACCCTCTTCGTCGCCTTCCCTCGTCACCTGCCATCTATTGCGACGAAGCGTGTTCGTCGCCGACACACTCACGACCATACCCAACAAAAGATAAAGCAGTCATGCCATTTGCTAAAAGGGTGGGAAGAACGGGAAATGTAAGTTCAGTGGGCTCGAGTTTTACAAACAGACTCATCTAGAGGTGCAAGCACAATGTTCCATGTATTTTGCAGATGTCTAGAATAGAGGACAATCCGGGGAGAATGTTCTATTCCTGCCCGTATTGGCAGGTATATTGTTGGATAATTCTCATTTTGTTGCCAAAATGGTATTCCTGCTATAAATTGAAGTGTCTTTTGTCATGTAGGATTTTGAGAAAGGTTGTCGTCATTTCAAGTGGTGTAATTGGATAACATCTAAAAATTCAAATTGTTATATTGGCATTAGTTTGGTATGTGTTTATACTCTGTCAGTTTGCTTATACATCGATAAAACATGTGTAATCCAGCTGGCTTCAGTATGAAAGAACAGCTTCTAGTTGAGTTAGTTTGGTGGTAGTAGTTGTCGAGTTAGCTTGTAATGAAGTGAAGTTCAAGTTTGTTAGCTTGTAATCCAGTTAAGTTCAAGTTTGTTTGCTTGTAATTCAGTGAAGTTTGAGTTTGTTTGCTTGTAGATACCTTAACTTGGAAACAAGTTCATGAACACATATGCACACTTTGAAAATCATGTATGAAAATAGCATAAACCATGTTCATGAACTTGGAGAGTACAAAATGTTCCATAACCTGAAAATAACTAACAAGTGATAAACCATGTCCCTTAGCCTGGAACGAGTCATAAACATTGAGTACTACACATTAACTTGAAATAATCATCAACACCGAGTTCTACGTCTCCTAAACATAGCGAGACTAAATATTCCCTAACACATGCCTATTACATGTTCAAAAGACAAAAGAAGGGAGATGTCATTTTCTTGATTCATCATAGCCACTCTAGCTTGTTTACTGTGTCTTGAGTTAAGTTGATGGAGGTTGTGTACTATTCATGGGCAAAAGTCGGCAATACCAATTCGATACTCATCCTGCAAAAGTCGCCAAAATATGGGTCATATAGTGTTCCAAAACTCTTGTTTACTGCCTCCACGTGACTCACAAAACACAAACACATACAAACAATCAATTTATTATTCTTTACCAAGTTCTTAGAATCCCTAAACAAAAAAGAAACAAAAAGGGATATTGTTTATTCACTTCGACACTTTCTCAAATTCGATTCCAATTAGATAAAGTGCAGAAAACGATATTGAGAACTTATTTGTTTTAGCTCAAAAGTTAATTTTGCATATGTGGTGTCCCCTGTCTAGACTGGTCCCACAAGAAAAAGACAGCATGAAGGACTTTTGTTTATCACCTGCGAAAGCCAGAAGAGGGAAAGGGATGATCGTCGGCAAAGACTAAAAAGGAAACGCGGCAAAAAGAGCCGGCCGCGTACTCGATTCTGATCGATGGTGTCTCGATTCGGCTAGGTGAGGAGGTGATGATAAAGGGAAAGCAAGGGGATAAGGACGGAAGGTCAAGGATCGCACCGCGAAGAGAAGAATCTTCGGCCATGCACTCTTATTTGGGTCAGATTTGGTTTCAGAGGAGATCGGGGAAGGGGATGGGAACGGGTGTCGGGTGGGGTTTTGCAGGAGGAAGAAGGTCGAAGGAAAGGGGGAAGGGTAATTGTGTGGTGGTCCTTGTGTCTCCCATTCCCTTTTTGTTTTGTTAAAAAAATTTAAACTTAGGCAATGACACGGACAAGCCGAGTCAGCATCGAATGCTGAGTCAGCGATGAAGAAAATGGTTGACCGTCAAATTTGTCCAATAATTTCAAAAGTGGGTCATAATTGTCTTATTTGAAAAATGTGGTCATAAATGTCACCAACGCTATACTTCGGGCCGAATTAGGGTATTAACACTTTATTTTAACATGAAGTTGTTATTGTTCATTTTTTACCACATAACGCATGGATATCCAAAACCCGCAGATATCCAGTGGGTTGGGTTGTGTTTGAGTTTTCCAAACTCAATGAATTTTACCTCGGATTTTGTGTGGATATACCCATGGATTTGGGTTTGGCAAAACCCAACCCAACCCAACCCAACCAATTGTCATCCCTAACGAGTGGCACTCAATTAACAGGCTAGCCAATTACCTAGTTATCGGTAAGTATACCGGTATACCGTTCTGGGCATTTTGACATTTGGATTGAAGAATTGGTTAAAGGTTCATATATGTTTCTGGGTATTATCTCCACACCCCACAACACTGAGGACGACCAAAATGCATAGGGAAGGACTCGATGGATGGCATGGGACGGAGAGGGACGGGTACGTGCGAGAGAAACAATGGGCATTTCACACGCGACAATTCCTTCCCTGCCGTTGACCTCTCCGATCTCATGAACTCATTCTTCGAAAGAAACTACAACAGCAATCGCACCGGGAAGAGAGAGATCTCCGATAATAAGGATTTTGAGGAATCGAAGGGGACAAGGACTTCGACGACGGGACAATTGAGTTGGATAAACTGCTGAAGGGAGAGACGGTGAAGGTGGGCGGGAAGAGCGGGAGAGGATCCGCTACATAACAGAACAAGCTCTGTTTAGCGGAATCGGGGAGAGATCTGCGGATGGATTCGAACGTCGTTTGATGACCTCGTCCGCCATAAAAATCCCTAGTTTCCCCAACCTCGTCCTTCACTAGCAACCTCGTTCCTCGTCGTTCCGGTTCAATGCATGGAAATCAGGACGTCTCGTCTGGTGTGACGGTGAGCTCCATCATCGTCATCGGGCTGGGTGGTGGCTAGGGATGACAATTCCTACTTGACCCGTTTTAGCCAACATGTTTGACCTATTTAGGTGAGGTCCGAGCATGGGTATTCTCATTCACCCGACCTGCCCTGACCCGCCACATTCTCAACTCGTTCTTGTCTAAATTATATATAATCTTAGTCAAATTAATTAGAAATTTACTTTTATTACTTTTTATTTTAGCTATAATAAAGTTGTAAATGAGTGAAAATCTCAATTTCTCCAATAATTTAACTACTTTTATCATATTATGGTTTGCTTTCTTGATATTATAATGAAATTAACGAATATATAAACTGTATTCCACATAAAGTGCATACTCATTTGGTCAACCTACCCCAACCCATAATGCATGATAAATTACCCGATCCGCCACGGGGCGGGTATGGGTATTGTGATAGCCCCGGACCTGCCATTGGCATTCCTAGTGGTGGCTCTGCAAGCGCCAGAGGGATACTTTGGCCGGAAGCGGATTGACAAAGGTTAGAGGGAGAAATAGTGCTGGCGACGGATGAGGAAGGAGGAGTTGGCGGCGGCCGGGTATGGGGTTTTGGCGGCGGATGTGAAAGAAGCCATGATAGCCATCTGAATGAATTGTGATGGAAAGCCCAATTGGGAATTTCTAGACGATCTCGACCAGGGTTTGGTTTATCTCTCCTGCTATAGGTTTTTTTTATTATGGGACGCTGGAGAGAAATGCTTCAAGGTGGAGGGATGAGGGTGAGTTTCG